CTTTTGTTGGTAGAAAAAAACATAAGTATGAAATATTTGTACACATACTTTGTTTATGTGTACAAACTATTCTCTAGCAAATTAAAAAGAAAAAAGAAAAGAAGAAAATCTAGAAGTTTTGCTGAGAAAAGAATTAAATTTTCCTGGAAAGAATGTTAGCTTTGAACATTCATTTACTTACTCAATAAACATTTGTTAAGCAACTACATATGCTAGCCTGTATTCATCTATAGATTTTTAAAGCAAAAAGTCCTAAGATTGGCTATTAAAAGAAAGTTCCACCTGGATAGGGTTGCCAAATAAAATACATGACATCCTGTTAAATTTGAATTTCAGATAAGCAATGAATAGTTTTTTAGTATAAGTATGTCACAAATATTGCATGGGACATAGCTACACTAAAAATATACTTGTTGTTTATCTGAAAATAAAATGTAACTGGTTGTCCTGTATTTTTGTTTGCTAAATCTGTTTACCCTACACCTGGAGGTAAAGAAATAGCCCTAGATGCCATCCTAGTCATTCTGAATATTATGTGTCCTATTTTGTTACTTAGAGCAAGGTAAGAACAAACAGAACATGATATCTAAAAGATGTTTCTAGAACCTTGGACAGAGTCCTTAACATATAAATATGCAATGTATTTTTTGCACTAGTTCTGTGGAGCTGTATCATAAAATAAATAAAACTACGGAAATAGACCACTCATCCTTTTGGAAGTGGTCAGACATCATTAGAGAAGGATTTGATTCATTCATTGACTGAGTATTTATTGAATGTTTATTATGTGTAAAGTACTATTGAACTATGAGATATATATGTGTGAAGTATATTTGTGTGTGTCTTTCTGCCCTCACAGAGTTTATGTTCCAGTGTTCCAGTATGTAAAGACAATACATACTGATGGTACCAGTCACCATTGCTAAGTGTCAGAAGGGGTTTACTTGCTACTGTACATGTGTGGTTTGGAAGACTCTCGTATGGGAGATATTAGCTTCTGTAATATAATGTATGCACTACAAAATCAAGCTTTATCTGTAACTCTGATTTTATTTTTCTAAACACACAGATTCTTCTTAGTGGTATTTTAAAGAATAATGTTATTTAACAAAAGCAACCTGATGCCATCTTCCTCCTTACTGCCTAGGCTCAGCTCTCTAGGAGAGGTGTTCTCAACTTTAGCATGAATCAGGGCTTGTTGGAACATAGATTGATGGGCTCCATCACCAGAGTTTCTGATTCAGGATTCCTGGGGGGGCCGGGAGGGGGGGGCAGAATTTGCATGCTGCTGGTATGGTAATCACACTCTGAGCTTTTCTTGAGTTTTCCCTATTTCTTGCCTTCCATACCCATGTTGACACCAAGGCTTATTTTTCTTATATTCTGTCTTTCCTTTTCGTTGCCATTTTTTAATTGGACTTCTGTATTTTCTCTTGGTGGAAGGAGGTATACGGGAACCCTGCTTTGTGGATGGTTTGTGTTATCTTTGTTTTTTCTCTAATTCTCTTGCTTTCAAACATATCCTTAACTCTTGGTTTCCTTTCTCACACTTTTATGAGGCTGCAGTAAGTGAATCTGAGAAACCCCTAGAGGTAAGGAAGTCCTACTGTGGTTTGCTGGGTAGTGGATAGAGAGTGCTAGGTGAGGGATTTTCTTTTATTCTCATTAAACTTAATAAGGAATAAAAAAAAGTTCTTGTTATGAAGGAAGATCAAGAGAAACCCAAGCAGTATCACATGGTTTCAGCATTTGAATTCCATGGAGGAAGGATACACATCGAAAGTGTATTATTTAGAGATGAGAGACAGAGCAAAGAAAATAACGATGATGATTTTTTAAAAAATTAAGTAATACTTCGCCTTTTATAAAAAGTTCTCACATGCATCATGCCTTTATGCTACTAAAAAGGCAGGAAAATTATTATTTGTATTTTAAACTCAGAAACTGAGGGTTATGAAATCAAGTGACTTGTTTAAGGCCACAGAGCCAGTTAGAGGAAACAAAACTGGATTGAAGTCATCAAATTCTACTATGATCATCTTGTACTTATGCCTCTACTCTAAATTTTACTGTTATAATCATTATAAAACATGCTTTACAAACAGGGCTTCCTTGGTTCTCTAAGGTAGAACTTAGCCCCAAATTCAGTATGATGGACTATAGATTTGTCTCATACACTTTGCTTCATGAATATGTGAGTCATTAACATAGAGCTATACAGAATTTTAATTGGAATCAGATCTCAGAGTTGAGTCTGCAGTGTTGAGAGTAAGTACTATCTACATTAAACCTTGGTGTTACTGAAGTGCAAAGCCACAAATACTGGTCTATTTGTTTGCATAGTGGCTGTGATGGAAAGAACCCAAGTTTCTTTCCTTTCAGTTCTGTCAAGCTATTCTTTATTTTTAGGACTCTTTTTGTTTAGACTATAGGTAAGTCCACCTGCACTCTTCCAAGTATCCCCAGTACTTTCTAGAATCTTTTTATACCAACATTTGGACTTTTTGCTCTGGATTTTTATCACTTCCACTGGGCTCCTGTTAAGTCGTGAGGCCCTACTTTTTTGATATTTTCTCAAGAAATTGGAAAGAACTTTGTTTGAGCCACAGCGAATCCAGGTCTTGAATTACTTCCACATGTTCAGGCTGTCTTGCCTTTTGAAAATCTAGACTAATAGTTCTCAAACTTTGTTAGGTTAGGGACTCCTTCAGTTAGACAAAAGTCTTGAAAGGCAGATGGCCTTACCAAACTGCCACTGCCAAATAATTCTGGAGTGAAAGGGAAGAGCACTGCTTTTTAAAAATGAAGTGCTTGATTTACATATATACATTGTTTTCAGATGTGGCTACATTATACACACCAGTACAAAAACCTTCATAATGTACTGAGGCACTTCATTATTTACTAGAGATCTGAAGATCCATTTGAGTATAACTCAGATTTATAAAATGATTTCACTTGTAGCTTTTGCATATGATCTCTAGGTATGCAAACCCATTGCTGAAATTTTCTCACGGGCAAACCTAGTTATTTGGGTTAACCACAGAATCCTTTGCTGAATCCATTGGAGAAATGTATTTATACATCAAAAAGACAATCTTCGGTAGTATGCCGGAAATTTTATGTTGCAAATTTAAAGCCCATTTCAATATGTGAGCTAATAGAATATATGAATTTTATATCTGCTAGGTCTATTAGAAGAGATGCATAGAAGGGAAGAGTAGATATGTTTGTGCGTTCAAGACCAGCAGAGTCAACTTTTACAAAGGAGACACATTCAGTCCTTTTTTCTCCCTAATCCTTAATTTGATGGCTTATAAATTGGCTATTCAGAGGAAGGACATAAATTATGCAAGAACACTCTGTAAACCATAAGTTGCTACATAAATAAAAACATTACTATTTGATTAATTCTCCTAATAATGGCAGCACTGATACCAGATGGAAAATTTCCCTTGATTGATCTCAGATTATTAGCACATTCACATTTACCCCAAGTAAACATAGTGACTTACCACTACCCAATTTTCTTCCTAAATTCAGTAGTGAGTCACTATGTTTATTTGGAGGTGTGAAAACTGCAGTCTTTAAGAACAACTGATTCCCATAAAGATGCATACATTAATTTACATAATGTCCTGACTTAAACTGCAAGAAGGCAAATTTCATCTTAAGTAATGTTCTATTTCAGTGTTCACTTCCATGTTGGATACCTCATCTCCATGTCTGTTGTTTTCCTTTCCTCCTAGTCTCCAATTTAAACTTATCTGTTTTATGTCCTATCTCTTAGATTCTTTCTAGCTGATCTGAGAAACAAGGTTTGTTTTGAGAAACTAATTTGTTTCCATGTATCAGAATTCAAGTATATAACTCTTCCCTGGCAAATTATGTGTCATTTAACAGGGGTATTCTGGAACCAGAGGTTTACCAGAAGAGCGATTCTTACAAGAATTTTAAATACGATAATCATCATCATTGTGGTAGGTATTCTTAGATACAGGAGGATCTATGTGAAATCACAATCATATAGGTGGTCACTTATATGGAGGCACATCCATGGAGTACCCAATATGTCTGTCCCATTATGGAGCTAAGAAGGAGCACTGGCAGAGAGACCAGGAGATCTTAGCTCTGGAGTCTCAGAATCCAGGTCTGAACCACCATCTTCCCCATCTTAAGGACTGAATCCCCTCAACAACATCCCTATAAAATGATCATCCATTCTCTCCTTGAATATCTTTAATTACAGGAACTCACTCCCTTTGAGTGAGTTCCCACCCAAGTCTATCCCACCTTAGAGCAGCTCTGTTGTCAAACTTGTTATTTTATTTAATGGGAAGAATCTCCCAATAGCTTCCAGTCATTGCTCTAGTTCTACCTTTTGGAGCCAAACAAAACAAACTGTCTCCGCCTCCCAACCATTTTAGTAATGCTAATAATAGTTACCATTTATAGCGCACTTATTACATGTTAAGACCTACTCTAAAAATTTCACATGTATTAATAAATTTAATTCTTAAAACAGCACTATAAGGAGAGTGTACTACTACCATTCTCATTTTATAGAGAAGGAAACTGAATTAAAGAAAAGTTAAGTGATTTTTCTAAGGTGACAAGGTTTGGTAGTGGCTAAGCTTGAATTCAAATGCAAGCAATCTGGCTCTAACACTGAAGCTCTTCAGTACTACATTAAGCTACCTCTGAAACTCAGATACTTGAATATGGCTTATACGATGCCCTGAGTCTTGTCTTCTACAGGCTGGACATCTCTAGGACACCCCTTCTCCATAAACGGTTTCTGGGATTTTGTTTTTCAGTGGCAGGGTGCTTTGTTCCTAGGATGGGGACACAGCTGGGCCTTCTAGAAGAGGCTTGCAGTGGGATCTCTTTAAAATCTGAAAAATGTTTCCAAACCTTCCCTTCTACCTGCTCTCCTACCTTCCCTTCCCACAGTCCCCTCAGCCCCCTGCTGCCCGGCCTCCAAGGGGGCCAGCACTCACCTGTGTGTACGAACATGTGCTTGACGTAGTTCTGTTTGGCGGTGAAAGTCTTGTTGCAGAGAGTGCACTCATAAGGCTTTTTTTCGCCTTGCCCACTGGCTGTGCTGTGGCCTGCGGATGAGGCCAGGGGCTGTGGCGCTGGCAGCTGTGCAGTAAAGGTCGACAGGCCGGGCTGGGACACTGTCACAAACTGGGTCTGCTGGCCTGCCAGGGGCTGTGGCAGGCTGAAGAGGAAAGGCTTGGGACCGCTGCCCGCGGGCTGGGTAGTGAAGAGGGCCGGCAGGTAGGTGTTGCCAGCTGTGCCAATGACCTGTGTGTTGCTGGTCAAGGTCAGAGGCATCCTCAGGTTGCTGGTGAGGGTTTCTGTCTGGCGTAGGTAGAGCTGGGTACTTGGCAATGGCTGCCCGATGGACGTGTTGACCGAAGGCTGCTGCAGGACGCTCTTGTCGGAGCTGTTGCTGACAGTGATGACCGTGCTGTCCATCTCCACCTCGTTGCTTCTCTCCGGAGAGGAGGCACCTGTTTCTAGCTGGTTCGGCTGGGGGGCACCCTCGGCAGGGGCTTCCGCAGCCTGCTCGGGTTGGGCGGGTTCGGCCTGGCCATCCCGTGTCGCCCCGGCCCCAAATTGCTGCTCCACGGAGTCGGGCTCGGTGCCTATGGAGGAGCTGACGCCCGAGTCGAAGCTTTCACCTTTGGGCTCACTCTCGGTGCCCTCAGCCTGGTCAGTGTCTTCTGTGCACTCCTCAGACTCGTTGCGCTCCAGGATCTGCACCCTTTGCTGCCCATAGTAGTCGTAATCGTCCTCCATCTCCTGCTTGATGTGGATGTTGCCCACTAGCGTCTGGATGCGCACAGGCCGGGGCTGCTTGCGGCAGTGCGTGGTCTCCGGGGTGGTGGACAGGTAGCGCTCCATCTGTTGCGAGCGCTCATGGATGCGTGTGATCCAACTGGGGTCTTCCATGTGGTGGTCTCGAGGCAGGCCAAGCGCAGTCTCGTGGTGGCTGACCACCGCACCGCTGTAAAAGGAGCGCTCGCCGCTGCCGTTCTGCATGGAGCACGCGTAGAGTGCCGAGTAGATCCTGTCCACGCTGTGCTGCGGGTGGCTCTGCAGGTAGCCTGACTCCGTGTCGCTGCTCTGGCCTGATGTTCCTGACTCGGGAGTCCCCCGCGGCGTGTCCTGGCCTGAGTCCTGGATCCCCGGGAACACATCGCCCACGTTCTGCGACACGATGCGCGTGCACTCATCGATGACTGTTTTGATCTGCAGGATGCTGGCGGCCGTGAGGATCTGCAGAGCTTCTGACTGTGAGACACGCAGCACGCCGCTGTACATGAAGTCAATGAGCTTTTGCACTGACTGCACTGACACCACCGACGGGATCTCGATGTCGCTGTAGCCAAGCAGCAGTTTGTCCTGGAAGAAGGGGCTGCCGGCTGCCAGCACGCAGCGGTGTGCGCGCAGCATGCTCCCGTGGATGCGCACCGTCACGTCACAGAAGTGGCCACGGTTGCGCTGCTCGTTGAGGGTTTCGAGCACGGAATTGCTGAAGTTGTGAAGGTTGATGCTGTGAATGCGCTCGGTCATCCCCTTGCAACTGATGTCACCTGCGGCATATCAGGGCAGACACAAAACAGGGCATGGGTCAGATCTAGCTGGCTGCGTTTCTAACACCTGGGTCTCAGGCGAGTAATGCTCAGGGCTCCTAGAAGCACCTTCCTTGCAGACACAAGCGGAGAGATGGACAGCTGCTGCATACAGGCCATAGGTATGATGGCCTCAGGGAATAAGGCCTTGAATTTTGCCCCATTTCCAGCCTTAGTGGCCCAGCAGTTTGGGATACTGAATCCATATTAGTCCCCCAGAGCTTCAGCTGAGGTTGACAGTTGAAGTTGAATGGCTTAATAAACCAGAAGGGTCGATTTGCCTGCTATTCCCACAGCTTCAACAAAGAATAACTGAAAGGCAAAGGGAAGACTTGTTCCCAGGGCACACTCTCTACCTCCGAGTTAGGCCTAAGTCCAGGTCCTCTGGGAAAGTTTACATTTCTCCCTATTTATTGAAGCTCCTCATTTTATTCATAGACAGTGACAAATACGTTAACAAATAAGTCCCCTTCCTATTAATATATATGGCATATTACCAAAACCCATATCATGTATGCAAAAATTCTTGGAATATTCCACCTAGTAGACTAATGTCTACCAAAGAGCTGCCACCATGTTTTCCAGATGAGGGTGGGCGATCTGCTAGCGAGAGGGGCACTCTCCAGCTGCTTTCTGTATCTACTCATTTTTCTTGTCCTCTCTGCCGACCTGTTTGAACTATTTTTATGGTGGTTGTATGTGACATGTGTGGTTTTCTGAATTTTCTGAGCCTTAATGAGGAAGGAATGCTAAAAAGGTCAGAAGTGGCAGTTCTGACCTGGGCGACTACAGCACACTAGGTGATCCTATCTATTGTTCAAACTGAGCACTTTTAGAATGAAAGGGAACACTGTCAATAATTAGGCCAGGATAGCAGGAGTAAACCAGAAGTGCGATATATGATCACCTTAGGTAATAGGGAGCTCTAGGCACTTGCAGGAAGAAGTATTAAGCAGCTCCCAGGAGGAAGGCAATAGTCAGCTATGTGGAGGCTGTGAAGAGCCTGACCCACTGCTACCCCTATACCTCAGGCTATTCAGACAAAGGATAATGTTGATAACATTTGGATTCAGATTCAGAAAGACAACAGATGGCCATAGCACCAGGTTTTAGGGCTTAAGCTATATTCTAGCTCACCTCTCAGATGGCTCTAGAGAATCCCTCCCCAGATTATTCTTAATCAGATTCCCCATTCTTGTCTTCACAACTGACCAATCAGCTTGAGACAGGCCAAGTAAGTGGGCTTTCCAAGCCAAGTGGCCCAAGTACTAATTGTTGGCCTGTGACCCAAATCCCTATGTCTTGTGAGAAGCAACCCCAGAAGGTAATGGCCTGCAGACAGGAGGAATGCCTACCTCCTCAGGTCCTTTCTACACTGCCTTAGGATAGAAGGCCTACTCAGGAAAGTCTGAGCACAACTAGTTTTTCTACCTTGCTTCACTTGATCACCCTCAAGCTGTCTGAGCTTAACTTAATGAATGCCTTCAAGCTCTATATGCTCAGTGATACAATTTACACTAATTTATGTAAAAGAATTCTTTCTTGTTCCTGACCTCCATCAGGTCTGTTATGTGCCTAAAGTATTGCATTAGGCTACAGCTTCTATCCCTTTAATTTATGTAAAACAAGTTCTATTTGCCAGATTAAAGAATCATGGTGAATCCCCTATAACTGTGCTAACATAAAATATAGCCCCACAAGAAGACACCAATAACCCAGGAAGGGATTGTTCAGGAACTCAGTCAGCAGACTAAATTCCCAGTTCTGAATTCCAAGAACTGAATTCCAAGTTCTGGCTGAATTTCCTATTACCATGATAATAGTAACAGCAGCAATCATTTTTTTAAAGCTTACTGTTCTAACTATTTTATGTATATGATTTCATGAAATCCTCCAGCAGCTGTAGGAAGTGGGTAGTATTATTGTTCCTATTTTACAGACGAGAAAACAGGCGAGAGAAATTAAGAAACTTGCTTAAGACCACAGAGGCAATTGGTGATAGAGCTGGAATTTGAACCCAGGCAGTCTGGCTCTAGAGTTTATCCTCTTAACTACTTTACTATATCTCTTGCTTTGTCTCTCAATGAGGTCTTGCCCTTAGGTATTCATGGGTCTATTGTAAAACTGTGAGAAAAGATTTTCCCAGTATTTCTTCTAGCTACAGTTCTATACCTATCCATGACTTAGCATGGCTTTCCTGTTTCTAGGCCTTGAGGCTTCAAAATAGCCTCATTCATTTAACTTAAAGAACATATTTTTTAGATAAAACAATGCAAGAAATAAAACAACTTGTTCTGGCACTAAGATGTAAAGTTTTCTATATACAATTTTACTATTACCAAGGTCTCTTTCATTTAAGTAAAACTGGTTGTGTCTATGATAAAATAACCATCTCTGTGTAGGATGGATTTATTAAAATAATTTTTGTACATAGGTGAAAAATACTCTTTAAGCATACCTTTGCTTTGCTCATAGCATCAGTCACAACAAAAACACTAGAGATGTCATATATGACAAAGTTGTCTTCTTTCAGATAATAATGGGAAGCAGCTCTATCATCAGTATCATAGTAATTAATATCCATGTAGTGCTTTACAGTATACAAAACTCTTTCATATGTAACATCTCATTTATTCCTTATAATAATCTATGTTTTCAGGATTTAGTATAAGAGAAAGTCAAGGCTCTCAAAGTGCCTAAATGCCTTGCCCAGAGTTGTACACAACTAGTAAGTGACAGGGCTGTGCCTTCTGATGCTCTTTCCACTGCATAGCACTGGCTCACTCAGGAATGAAACTCAAATTGCCCAAGATCTACAGTCATCTTAATTCTCAGTGGAAAAAACTAAAGACACCGAAAGTGATGATGGAGGTTGCTTTAGAGATCAGAAATTGTCACACACAATCACACACACAAGAACACTTATGCAATTTCACAAGAAAATCCAAACTGCTTATTTGACCAAACTGGATTGCAAAATTTGTCTATCTAAAGTCATTTAGCTGGTTATCTGCTAAATAATCTGAGTTATGATTATTATAGTAATGCTGTCACCAACTTCATGAAAAACCACAGAGACAGACTTAAACCTGCACATACATATAACTTAACCTGAGAAGCCTGGTTGGATTTTTATAGACACAATTCTTAAACATACCCCTGAGTACACTGGCCCCACACTGCAGTGAGCAGTCATGAAAGGCTGAATGGATTTTTGCTGATATGAGTACAGATGCGAAGGGGGACCCTGCCTCTCCATTCAAGCGCGCCTCATTCCTCCAGCACACAATGCTGAGGCAATTCCTTTCCCAGGCTTTCTTTTATTTTTAACACTAATACAGTGGGAAAAAAGTTTCTGCCACAGCAAGGCGAAGTCCAGGCTTTTGTGAACATGTCCTTTTCATCCAATGGGCATTAATGTATAGATTCCAATGGAATAAATCTGAAATACTCTACTGTAGAAGATTTGTCCGCCATTGAAAACAAATCTTGATTAGATGGTTATTCAGGGACTGTATAGGAAGGATGGTGTGAAAATGCTAACTCCATTCTTTCTTAGATTGGCACTGAATAGGCATTTGGGCTATTCAAAAAAAAAAAAAAAAAAAAAAACCAAACTCCAACCCTCTTAACTCTACAAAACCATACAACTTTACATAGATTTATGTGTATTTGGGGATGCTTCCCCACCTGAAAAAAATCCACAATAGTACAAACATAGAACTAGTGGCAAAATGAAAAAGTGATAAAAAAAATTTAGTTTTCTATGTGTTTTAAAATAATAACTACCTCCTTTTCACCAGAGTAAAAATATAGAGTTAGCGTGTGATGGCATTAACTAGAAACATGCAAGGAATTGTGCTACTGAAAGCGATCATGTATTCTCAGTGACTGTTCTGTGAGCGAGCACAACACAGATGGAGCTGAAGTGGGGTGAGTACTGAAGGAAAATCTGCCTGTGGTGAAATAGGGGATAGAGGGCTTGACTCTGTTTTTGTAGGAACCTGGCTCTGGCCTGTCCCTTAAACTGCGGGGGTCCAGGGATAGGACTTAGCATGAGAATAAAAAGCTGCCTGCACACAAGAGAAAATGAGCAAGAAAGGAAACAGCAGGCAATACGATCTCTTTTAATTAGATGTGAAATCCAGTCCTTTCTCAATCAGGAGAGCAAAAGGATATATAAAATGAGACTAGTGCAAGGGTAAGGTGCTAAGGGCCGGGGAGGCATGGGAATTTGAAGTCTCTATGATTTGGGAGAAAACACCAGCTCTCAAATTAAAACCAATCTGGTATACGAGGTTCAGAAAAGGGCATGAAACAGAGGTAGGGTAGCCAGGCCTCCATAACCCAGCCTCATATACCATATGCTTTTCCACATTGTATCTTGATACCTTTAGTGTGTGGAGATTGATCTTTCATGTATCAGGAGATTAATGATGATCTCACACTATGACATATTGGTGGTGCTCGCCATGTTGGTCACACTAGGGAAGAGCCAGTTGTCACTGGAGAAAGGAGGAATGCATTTTGGTAATTCAGCCCCCTTAGTTTCCAAATGCCCTGGCAGGTGTAAGACCTCGGTTATATCTCCTTCACCTACTCGAATATGCCAAGGGGGCTTGCTGAGACCCTGCGCTATAGGAGGTATAGATGTTTTTTGCTCACAGGTTCCATCCAGAGCAAATGGCCCTGTGTCTCCCTACACTTTCACTGGCATCTTCACAATATTTAGAGGGTGACTGGGTACACTGGGGAAATCATATATGCAAGTGGAAGGCAGCAGGCAGAACAAGACCTCTTTTTCCTACCTTGGCTCCAGACATCTAGCATATCCCAGCTGTCATTACCTCTGTAGTGGGACCACAGGAGGGCCATCAGCCTATGGAAAGGGTCGCTGACAGTTTCACTTACCCATTCTTGGGTGAAAAGGGGGACGCTTTGGGCCATCTCCTAATGAAGGT